GAAGGATCTTTGTGAGTTCTATAAGAGCTAGTTCCAGGACCAGTTTCAAAGCTACAGAGAAATCCTGTCTCAAAAAACCAAAGAACAAATATACAACATACACACAAGTCCTCAGTTTGATCAACTTTATCCCTACAAAGTATTTCTAGGGAGAAAGAGGAGATCAGCAGCTGGCCTTAAACTTTCACATCCTCTTGCCTCAGCCTTAAGTGCTGGATTACCGACCTACATCATCATCATGTCAGCATACAACCTCATTTTAAAATTAAACATTTTTAAAGAATATGGTTTCCAAGTGTGATGATATACGCCTGTAATCCTAGCATTCAGGAGATCAAGGCAAAGTATTAAGTTTGAGGTCAGCAACACCCAAGGACTGAGGATACATAGTGCTCAGTGATAGAGGATTCACCTAACATGAATGAGCAAGGTCTTGCTTCCACCCTCAGCACTGAAGGAGGAAAACTGTCACCATATGTTAACCACCAATTTCTCTCAAACAGAAATTGCAGCATCAACGCTGAAAGCTAAATTACTATTCTGCACAGAAAAGTTAGTCTAACAACCTAACTAACCCATTAGACTCTTCAAATGGCACTTCCTTTTCTCCCCAGTACTCCCTCTCAAGTGTTGCCACACAAAATGGCAGTGTGACCAGGAAGTCCCTTCCTAATTAGTAGAGATATTAACAACAAATTCCAGCAATGGAACAAGGCAGACAGGAAATGCCCTCCACCCACTACCCACACACCTCTCCATGTGCTAAGAGTTGTCCTCAAAATAGTCAAGTTTCTTTACAAGCTCCAAAACCTGTAACAAGATAACAAAAGCGCTGGCTAAAACCCAGGAAATACACTCCCCACTCATCCCTCACTCTGAATTGGTCAAGTCTTCCCTGGAACTGCAGAAGGACAAACACCAGCTCAGATGTTCTATGGTTTGGTCCTCATGCCAGGACTGTTGTTCTTTCTACTTTTATCTAAAAAAACAACAGGAACTATTTTCTATACTTGTGATGTTTTTTAAATAAGAAGTTAGGGGATAGTGAGATGGTCAATGGGTGAAAATACTTGTTGCACAAGCCTGACAGTCTGAGTTTGATCCCTGGAATCCATATAAAAGCCAGATGTAGTGGCATGCATCTGTAATCCCACCCCAGCACTCTGAAGCTTTCTAGCTAGGGCTACACCTGGCAGAAACAGCACCTGGCTCCAAAACAAAAAAGAATGAGAAAACAACTCCTGCAAGTTGCCCTCTGACCTCTACAGTAGCTCAGGAGCACATGCGCACCTGGCTCACTCCCTTCCCCCATACACACAACACAGACACAAATAATAGAAGTTTAAAAATTAATTTATACACTGGTAGTTACGACTATATCAAAATAGTAGTCTTTATGGGGGAGCTTAAATGATTTTTAAAGTTTTGGCCGGGCACACCTTTAATCCCAGCATTCGGAGGCAGAGGCAAGCGGCAAGCGGATCTTTGTGAGTTCAAGGCCAGCCTGGTCTAAAAGTTAGTTCTAGGACAGACTCCAAAGCTACAGAGAAACCCTGTCTCAAAAAACCACAAAAAAAAAGGTTTTTTTGTGTTGAAGAGTATGTGTGCACATGCGTGAATGTGTTGCATGTATATACAACTGTGTGTGCTAGTGCAAGCACCTATGTAAGGAAGGCATCAAGTATAGTCCTATCTCTGCCTTACTCCTTATGAGCATAGTCTCTCAGAAGCTGGACCTTACATTTCTGCGCTAGGTTGAAAGTCAGGGAAGCCCAGGAACCCTATCTTCTCCCTTCTCAATACTGGGATTACAAGAGAATGTGGGGTACACCTGATTTGTTATGTTGGGTATTCTACTGAAACTCCAGTCTTCATGTCTGCACAGTAAACAGCTCTTAATCATAAAACCATCTCTTCATCCCTTACATGAATTTTTTATTTTAAGATTTACATGTTTGCTTGCATGTATACATGCACATTATGTGGGTGCCTATGCCTGTAGAGATCACACGACAGCATCAAATCCTGTAGAACTAGATTTGCCGATGGTTGGAAATCAAACCTGGGTCTCCCTGTAGATCAACAAGAGCTTTTAATCCCTGATCCATCTCTCCAGCCTTTGTTTTTAGGCAGGATCTTACTATGTAGTCCTGGCTGGCCAGAGCTGTTATGTAAACAGGATGGCCTGAGATCTGCCTACCTCTACCTCCTGAGTGCTGGGATTAAAGGCGTGCACCACACTAAGCCCTGACTTTTTTCTCTTCATAAATCCTAACGTGGACCAATTAAGACAGCAATGAACGATGGTTTAGCAGCCAAGAGTACTTGCTGGTCCTGCAAAGGGCCCAGGTTTGGTTCCTGCACCGATATAACAGGGCACAACCCTTTACAACACCAATTCCAGAGGATCTGATGTCCTCTTCTGGTCTCTATGGACAACAGGCAAGCCCATGGTCCCAAAATAAAACACAGAACACAAACTAAAAAATATAAAACAAAAAGATGAAATGGCTATAAAATAATCCCATATGATTTACTGCACATAAACCATACAGATTATATTATACATAATATACATTAAACCCTCTAAAAGTTCCATTTTTGGCAAATTTCTGCCTATTTTTCATATACTCCAAACATCCTTGACTTTTTCTGCCCTCTACATTAAATAAGCAAGCAAATTCATGTGTTTGATCCCAGAATCCATGAGACCCAAACTTCTACAAACTGTCTTCTGACTTCCATACATGCGCCACAGAATATCATACATGCATGCGTACAAATGTATACACACACACAAATAGAGTTGGAAGTTATGGCACATGCTTTTAATCCAAACACTCAGGGGGTAGAAGAACACACACACACACACAGGGGGTGGGGGCTGGAATTGACATAAATAAGCTCTGTTGTCATTAACACTTTTCTGCCTTACAAAAAAGTGTGCATTTTAACTTCCTCATTCTCCAAGAGTGAAATTAAATTAACAAGTCCTCTCAAAGATGCTCATTGCATTACAACAGTCTTATACTTCTTGGCTATAAATATGTAGATGAAGGATTTAAACAAACAACCAAAGGAAGTTAAAAGTGAAAAATAGCCTTTATTGTGCTGTCCGGGGTTTGATTTAAATGTCTGACTTTGGTCACTGTCAAAGGAGAACTTTGTGGAGTCTGCCTAACTACAGCTATGTTAGATATTTGAAAGGAAGAAAGTTACTAAAGTTATCAAACACATTTCTATCAAATTTGGGAAATTAAAAATATATTTACTGAGCAGCCAACTTTTGTTAATTTGTTAAGGATGTTAATATTAACATCCTAAAATTACTCATCTGCAAATGTTACAAAACAAAATTGACATTTGTACTTAAGTACTTAAGGAAGAAATTAATACTTTCATTTTAAAGAAAAGAGAAGTAAAACCCATTTTAATTTTTAAATATCACTTCTGGAAATAAGCTTGATAGCTTTGAATTAAGGTTTATTACTGTCTTTATTTTAAATGAGGTTTGCAGAGTCTCGACTCATAAAATTATCACATTTACCTTATTACATTTTCACAAATTTTTGTCAACTTTTATGCACTCACACAAAATATAAACATTCTAAGTTTTCACAAACCAAGCAGTCTAAGACTCTCACTGAAAAAAAAAATGTACAAACCAAAGCTAAGTACCATAAATAACAGATAAGAGCTAAGAACAAAATGAAATAGATACGGTTTTTTAATTCTTCCCCTTACGTACTAAAAGTAGACCACACTCTCCAAATACCTTCAATTTAGCCACTAGATTTCCAGAAACTCAACAGAAATCGTCTAGAGACAGGCATTATAAAGTTACCACTATAGAAAAGATTTCCTATTTCTTAAGGGTTTATTTTGTTGCCATATTTCAACTATATGAAAACACTTGTTCTCAGCTTTTCTACCACAAAACATTCCCTAAACAAAGACTGTTTACATCTCTTAAGAAGCCTTTGTTCCAGGACCCCTCTGTTCAAGAGCTACAACTTCTGGATCTTCTCTCTGGTGGTTCTATCAACAGCAAACGCTGGCCAACTCTTCTACATTGGCACAGGAGTTTGTTAAACAAAGGAGGAGCAAGTCCCCTGCACACAAAGGAGGGCTCCAAACAGCACTAGTTGTGTCTGTAGATCATTTCTCCTCTTTACCCCTCTCCTCTCAGGCTCTACTACACAGTATTCTCAATACAAAATGGTGGCTATCATGTGTGACATTCAGAATGGGAAAAAGCAAAACAAACGCACAAATCCTAAAGATTGCCATTAATCTGCTCACCCAGATGAGAAATGGGTAGCCAGACCTAAGCAGAGCAACACTATTTTTCGAAGACAGCTCTATGAAGGCAAAGAAGGCAAGAGAAAGGACTTACCCCAGCCCTGGATGCCACAATGCCAACATGGAGGACAGCTCAAAGGAACCTAGCTCCTCTCACATTTTGGTTTCTAGTAACTTAGTCAAGTTTGCTAATGTCTGGATAACATCCTATCAATGAAAACGTCCAATATTCACATTCATCACATTAACATAAAGCTACATCGCTCAAGGTTTAGAGCAAGCATGATCTATTCTTCAAAATTAAAACCTTAGTGCTAACCAGCCCAGGGTGTAACTTCTGCAGGCCTCTACAGTAAAAGAAATGTACCTTCCCTTAAGAAACAATAATCGTCCCTGTCCACTTTCACCAAACATTTCCTCCACACTAGCTGACCTGGCCAGTTATTTTCTGAGCCACCTATTTCATTTCTGTTTGAAAAGTTGTCCAAGAGAAACTAAACTAAAATATGGTGTGTGTGGTTTTTTTTCTGGTGGGGGGGTGATAGAAAGATAAGGCTTATTCTAGCTTTTCTAGAACAGAATGATTGATTACGTACACAATCCCGCAATTCAAAATGCCATTACAAAGAGCAAGTTTAAGGAAGAAAGAGGTAAAACGGCGGGGGGGGCCCCCCCTTCCTCCACTTGTGTGCGAGCAGTGGAGATAGAAAATTCTTACAACGGTAGACAAGGCAGTTAAACCTCTCCAACCGTCCCGGCCGGTCCAACGGTCGTTTAGGCCAACTCAGACTCGGGCCATCCCAAAAGGTAGGCGAAAAACCTGGGGTGTCGCAGCGCATCCAGTTCCGGCTACTGGGGGGGGGGGGGGGGGGACGACCGGCAAAGAGGGGGCCGGGCTCTTGGCGGCCGTTGCAGCCGTTAGGGCTGGCTTTGGGGACACCCCACCCCTCACAGCCCCCCAAGCTCGAGGCGCCAGAGCCCCCACTGATGGGCCGAGTAGGGAAGGCTGGGGACCTCGTCTGACATCTCTCCTACAAACACGGTGCATCTTGCCCTCAGCCCCAGCCAGGCCTCCCCCGGGAGCAGCGCCGTCCGGCCCGAAGGCCGTGTGGGAGCGCCCACCAGGGCGGGCGGGCGAGCATCGGGGCACCGCTGTCCCGCCCCACAGTCCCCGAAGTACCCCCCCACGACACTTGTGCCCCCAGCCACCCAGTCGCTCCAGGCCGGACCCGCGGCTCCTCCCCTCCCCCAGTGGCGCGGGCCGCCCCCTGCCCCAGTCCGGCCCGGGGACTCCGGGAGGCCGAGGGACCAGGTGGTGGTGGGGGACCCGGGTACGGAGGGTGGGGCGCTCAGGTGAGGGCAGCTCCCGGCCGACGCCGCCACCACACAAAGGACCAGGGGCTCCCGCCGCCATATTGAAAACTTTCCTCCTCACACGACAACTCGCAAGTCCCCCACCCCCACCCATCACACACCCCCGCACCCCAGGGAGGAGGCGAGGACCAGCCACCGAGCCGTGCGGGCCCAGAGTCCTGCCTCCACGTCCGCGCCTCAGCCGGGCTCGGGGGTACTCCCCGGCAGCCACCCCGGCGGCTGCCACCACTCC